AGCAGCACCGGGGTGGCTTTTGGAGAATGGATAACTGGGAATTTTTTTATTTTCCTTTCTCTAGAGCTAATTATTCCTTGGATGAGGGCTGTTTGGATGGTGCTCATCTGACCCTGTCCCGCTCTCTCTGTCCCTAGGAAGCCCAGCAAATCCAGCTCTCATGCTGCCACCACCCAGGGCCACTCTGCCGACTCCAACCCAGAGAGGTACCTGCTGAAGGATGCCCTGAGCTCACACTGGGCTCTGCTGGGCACTGCCAGCCCAGGGGAGGCTTTCCTGGCAGCCTGGGGGTTGTGGGGCTCAGGGCTGACCCAGCTAGGGATGGGCTGTGCAGAGGGGCAGGATCTGGCTCACAGGACGCTGGGAGATGCTGGGGCTGGGCTTGCTGAGAGCATCTCTCCCTTCCTTTGGGCTTCCATGGTGAAGAGAGTCCAGTGACAGCCGGAGCCCCACTGCATCCTCCAAGAAGTCACCTCTGGATGGCAAGAAAGAGAGGTGGGTGCTGGGCTGGGCGGGGATGGGGGAGGTTGGACCCCACCCCCTCGCTGGGCTGTAGTTGGGGGTCTGGACCCACTGCCTAGTCCCTATCATTGTCCTCTGACCTGGGGCTTGTCCTGCCAGGAGGGACTCTGCTGACTCCAGGTCCTCCACCACCTCAGCCACCTCCTCCTCTTCCTCCCCCCAGAAGAGGCTCTCGGGAGAGAGGTAAGGAGGGGATGCCCAGGGCAGCTTGGGGATGCTTTGGGGGTCCCTTTTGGGGATGCCTTGACCATGGGAGCCCCATCCTGGGTGGGCAGAGATGGCTGGGAGCCCTGATCCTGCCATGGGCCCTGGGACATTGCTTGGGAGGAGCAAATCCTCCCCTGGGGAGATTCCTGTTGGCTTCTGAGCGCTCACATTGATGTGCTGGTGCCCAAAGTCCTGCCACCATTCCCTGCCCCCTGTCCTGCCCACCCATGTCTGGTGTCATCCCACTGTCCCCTCTCCCCCAGGAGAGCCTCTGTGGGCTCCAGCTCCTCTCCAGCTGCCACAGGGTCCCGGAGAAACTCCAGTGACAGCAAGGAGGAAAGGTAGGAGAGACCCATCCTGCTGCTGTGGGGCCCCGACAGGTCCCTGCGGCTGTGCCAGGACCTCACCCCCTGCTTGTCCCCCTGGTGTGCCCCACAGAGCCAACAGCAGCAAGGGCAAACCAGAGACACCACGGACCCCCACCAGCCCCTCCTTCTCTCCCAGCCCCTGTTTCCTGGCCCCCTGTTACCTCACAGGGGATTCCGTGCGGGACAAGTGCATCGAGATGCTGACGGCCGCGCTCCGTATGGATGGTGAGCGGGGCTGGGGGGGCTGCACCCCAGCCCAGGCTGTTTCTCCTGTGGGACAGCCCTAAAGGGAGCCTTCAGCCCTAAAATGAAAGAAAAGGAGATTGGTAGGGATGATGGGGATGGGTCTTTGTAAAGTTCAAGGTAGATAAAAATGGGTATTTTGGAGATGGGGTGGGACAAGTAAAGGGGGAGACGTGAGGTTTTTTTGGGGGGTACAGTGAGGCTTGAATGGTTTCACACCTGGAAGTCACCCCTTGACCCCTCTGTCCTTTAGATGACTACAAGGAGTTCGGTGTCAACTGTGAGAAGATGGCATCGGAGATTGAAGACCATATCCTTTGGGGAGGGTGGGGGTCCCGGGGCACTGTCTGCTGGGGGGGGCACACATGGGCTGGAGAGTGGTTATGGGGACAGGGCAGAGGGTGGCAGGGACAAGGACAGAGTGTGACAGGCTCTGCTGTGCTCGTTGCCTGCAGAGGGAGCCCAGACCACGGTTAGAGGATGCCGAGGCTGATGTTGATGCTGATGTTGATGCTGAGCAGAGCATCCCCTGAGCACATGCCTTAGTCCGGGGGGGGGGTCTGTGTGTCCCCCATCAAACTGCTCTGCTCAGGGACCTGCCTTCATCCCTGGGGAAAGAAACCCAAACTCAACCAAGGCCTTTTCCTTGAGCCTGCTGTGGGTGCCCATGTGCCCAGGCTGGCAGGGATGGGGCCACCTCCACCCATGCCCAGTTCAAGACCTGAGTGTCTCTTGGCAGACCCCCAAGACCGAAATCAGCCCCAAGGTGGTTTCCCCTCCTGGGTACAGTTTGATTTTTGGTGCATCCCAGACTCTGTGCCGGAAGCTGCTGGCTCAGCCCACCTGCCCACATCTGTACAGGCAGTGGGTGACTTTTGGCCATCCGGGGAGGAGGGAACAGGCTGAGTCCTCTGCAACACGAACTTGTCACAGCACAGTGAGCTGTGCTGGCAGTCCCTGAGCCCCACAGCCTCGCCTGGATGCCAGACTTTCCAAGGCAATGCAAAGCTGTTTTCCTCCCAAAGCTCTGCTTCACCCTCCTAAACTCAAGGATGGGGACACTCAGGGAGCAAATTCTCATTGAAGTCGACCACCTCCACATGGGCACCGACCCTGGTGACAGCCAGCAGCCCCCTTGATTCCTTGACAGGCCCCACATATCTTCCAGGAGCTGAAGAGCACGGACATGAAGTATCGCAACCGGGTGCGGAGCAGGATCAGCAACCTGAAGGACCCCAAGAACCCCGGGCTGAGGAGGAACGTGCTGTGTGGGGCCATCGAGCCCTCCCTCATCGCCCGCATGACCGCCGAGGTGGGCACAGGGCGGGGGGCACGGGGCTGGTTCATGGGTCACATCCATCCTTCCTCCACAGCAGAGGGACTTGGCTTGGTGGTGCCCACACTGGGCTTATCCCAACACCTCCCCGTCCCATCCCGGTGTTGGCTGGGCCAAGGGGAGCAACAGGCACAGGGAGAAAGTGGAGGCACTGCCCCTCAGAGCCCTGCAGCTCCCCCAGCCCATCACAGAGCTGGCTGTGGGATGTCACACGGGCAGGGGTTAGCCTGCAGGGTCCCCATTCCTCCTCCTCAACTGGAGTCCACAAATCAGGCTCCTGGGAAGCCCAGTTTGCCCTGCAGGGAGGCAGATCCCTGGGGGCAGCAGTTTGGGGTTGAGGATGGGGTGATTTCTCCGTCTGGGTGGGTCTGATCCCTCCCGCGAGCGCAGAGAGCAGGATCAGTCCTGGTCCGGGAGAGGACGGGGAGGGTGCTGGACCACGGCAGGTGTCTGTGAGCAGAGCTGTGGCCACACTGACCACGGGGCCGACGCTGGTGGCAGGAGATGGCCAGCGATGAGCTGAAGCAGCTGCGGAATGCCATGACCCAGGAGGCCATCCGGGAGCACCAGATGGCCAAGACGGGCGGCACCGTCACCGACCTCTTCCAGTGCGGCAAGTGCAAGAAGAAGAACTGCACCTACAACCAGGTCAGCCCTGGGGCACCCCAGGGGGTCTCTCCTGGCCCGATCCCCACCAGAGGGGTCTCTGCTGACCCCACCCCTGCTCCATCCCAGGTGCAGACACGCAGCGCCGACGAGCCCATGACGACATTCGTGCTGTGCAACGAGTGTGGGAACCGCTGGAAGGTCTGTGCCCAGCTCGGGGGGGGGGGTGGCTCACCAGCCCTTCCCTAGCCCCCCAAAATGTTGGTGGCGGGGCTGGGTGAGGGCTCACCACCTGCCCTGTGCTCTGCCTCTCCCGCAGTTCTGCTGACGGTGCCGTTGATGGGGCTGGAGGGAACGTGGTGCGAGATGAGATGCTGTGGTGCCATCACACGTGGAGAGGAGGGTGACAGGGTGGCACCAGTCCCTACACCCTGGCTCCCTGATTCCTTGCACTGGGCTCCCTCAAACATCCCAGGCAGCCAGGCTCCAGCAAAGTCTGTTTTGCTCGAGAAGGTCCCAGTGAATTCAATGGTTCCTCCCTGTAAATCCCTTCCCTTTGCTCGGGTTGAGCTGGGATCCCACTGGGAACAGACTCATCCCTGGATAGGGGGACTGGTATGACCTGGCAGCGTGCCCTTCCCTGTGGGAAACCTGGACTTGGATGATTTGGGGCAGGAGGAATGTCATCCCATGGATGTGGGGCTGTGCCCGGGGTTGGGGATGGGAGTGGGTCAGGTTTTAACCCAAACACCTTCTTCCTCACCTGAACACTCAGAGGGAGGACATGGAGGGGATGGGGTGGTTGCAGGGTGTCTGGATGCTCTTGGGATGCCACCGTGTCCCTCTATTCTGAAACACAAGGACAATCCATCCTGGCTTGAGGGCACTGTGTCCCAGGGAAGAAGGAGGGATGGCAGGGAGAGGAGTGAGGAAAAACCCTCCAGCCAAAGCAATAAAGGTGTGAACTGTCTCTGAGGCACAGACTGTTTTGTGAGGGGGTCTGGCACCTCTCCCTCATTTTGTATCCCCCCAGCTCCAGCCTTGTGGTCCTCTGAGAGCCCCCACCCAGCTCCAACACACACCCTGCATCCCCCAGCCCCCAGCTTGGGATGTAACTATGGCTTGATGCTCATCCATCACCTGCCTGGTGATTAAAAACCTTTAATTACGGCTGGAGCAGCTCCCTGGCTGGGTCTGGATGCTGTGGGCTGTCCCACGGCAGGGCAGAACCTCCACTGACAGCCAGGAGGGTTTTCCAGGGAAAGGGCATCAGAGACCAGCTGGGACACATCCCTTTGGCTGCGGGAGGTTTGGGACAGAGCCTCGTGGCACCGAGCCCGTCCCTTGTCACCACCAGCCTCTTCCAGCAGCAGTGAGATGTGACAGGGACACAGGAAGGTCACAGTGACCACAGGTGGCCACGGGTGAGGAGGAGGAGGAGGGTGCTGCTCCCACGCCTGCATGAGCTCATGTGTGGGAGTGCAGGAGGACGGTGGAGCTGCTAATTAACCCATCATTAATGTTCTAATCTGGGGCTGAGGTGTGAATTTTTCCCCAGGCAGAGCCCAAGGCTGTTTGCACCCAGAGCTGGGTGCTAAACCCTCCGTGTTTGGGGGTCCAGGCCACCCCTGAGCCCCCCCAGAGAGCTCTCTGGGCTGCAGTGCTCGTTAGCACACCAAAGTCATTAATAAGCCTCCAAGGCAATTATTTACGCTTGCAGAGTGCGTGTGGCTGCAATTAAGGAGTATAGTGGGTCGTGGGGGATGAGTAAAACATCAGTGTGACCTTGAGCTGGGGAGGGGGAGCTCAGGAGGGGCAGTTCCAGGGCTCCTGGCTGTCCCCAGGGTGCCACAGGGCGTGTTTGGGTGGGACAAGGCTGAAACAGGGGGATTTGGACCTGGATTTTTCAGAGTCCAGTCCAATAAAGGCATTTGAGCAATACCAGAGGAAGCCTGGCCCCAAACACGTTATTATGGAGCTCCTGGCACCCCTCTGTGTCCTTCTGTCTCCAGGGAAATGTCACCCTGTGGCCCCTCCCCAGGTCCCCGGGGAAATCCCAGAGGAGGAAAGGGAGCAGGGAAGGCAAACTGGAGAGCAGGGCACTGCCACCCAGGCAAGGATGTCCCAGCTCCCAGGGAGGGCTTTCCCACCTGCTTAAAGCTGGAGGAACTCTTGGTCCTGAGGGATTCTCTGGCCTCGGGGAGAGATGCAGGATGTGTCCCCTGTGGCACTGGAACAGGGGGCATTGAGGGGCTCTCTGGCATCCTGCTGTTTCCAGGGGTTGAAGCAGGCTCTGGGTGGCTCTTGGGGACAGTTCCCAGCACTGAACCTCTGACCCACTCCATGAGGAGGCCACAGATGTGTGTGTGTGTTACAAAACCCCAATTCCCAAATTTCCAGCCCCCAAACTGGGATGACTGAGCCCCCCCCAGGAGATCCTGCCGTCCCTCCCCAGCCCTCAGCCCCGTAGGTGCTTTGTCTCAGGGGGGTTTCCCCTCTCTCCACCCGGGTGACTGTCCCCTCCTCCCCTCCACACCCCCCAGCCTGGCAGGGAAGAGGAGGAGGGAGGATCCCTGGCAGCTCCCTGTCCTGCCAGCGCTCAGCTGGGAGCTCTCTTGAACTCTGGGGAATTGGGCACTTCACTTCTCCTTTCTCATCAGTGCTGGAGCCACGACTGCAGCAGCTAATGCTGGTCCCCCCCTCCTCCTGCACAGCCCTGCAGGCAGGAGGCTCAGACAAGAGCCCTCAGGAGCTCGGGGGCTCTGTCACAGCCCCGGCCCCACCCGGGGCTGGTCGTGACTGTGCAATGATGGAGAGGCTCCTACAGTCCCTGCCAGGGGTTGATTCCCCCCCCCGGAGCCTCCAGGTTTGGATGCTCCAAAGCTTCAGCAGAAGCTGGTGCCTCTCCCTGCCTGTCCCTGCATGAATCATGGCATCAGTTTGGTTGGAAAAGATGTCCAAGACCATCGAGTCCAACCGTTCCCCCACTTGGCACTGCCAAGCCCACCACTAACCATGTCCCCAAGTGTCACATCCACAGGTCTTTTAAATCCCTCCAGCAATGATGACTCAAATGAGGCTCTCAATCCTCCATCTGATGGAGGTTTTGTATTCAACCTCCAACCTGCAGCACTTCAAACAACCCCACCGTGTGTCCCCCATGAGGGAACAGCCACCACCGGTGCCACCAGACCACATCCCTTCCCCGTGGGCTGCCCCGAGCCACCCCAGGGACACTCTGTCCCACAGAGTCCAGCACATGGTCACCTCAGTGTCCACGTTTTGCTTTGCAATCCCAGCTTGCCCAGGGGTCACCCCCCCTGTGCTCCAGCCCCCCGACTCACCCGCAGCACGGGGGCTTCGCCGCTGCCCTTCTCCCCCGCATTTTTCCAGCCTTGACAAAAAAATCAGCACTTCGCTGCTCAGTGGTTTCCTTGGCAACCCCGTTTCCCCATCCTCTCGCTTTGTGCATCTGTAACCCCCCCCGGCCCTGGTCACCAGCCCCCAAAGCACAGTGACAGGTCCCTGTCCACAGGGATGGAGCAGGAGGTGGTGGGTCCCGATCCTGGGGGGACCCTCAGCCAGGGCTTCCCAGGAACCTGGGCTTCTTGGAAAGGGAATGGAGCGGCTGATGGTGGTTTGTGTCTGAACTGGACTGAATTAAAGCTGTTTTGGAGCCGGCCTTTACCCCTCTGTGTGGGGTAAAAACTAAAAACCCTGTGCACGGGCTGCCCAAAGTGGGAATGGCTTCCCACTGACAGAGAGTGAGTTTGGATTAAATGGGGATAAATTCCTCCCTATGAGGATGGGGAGGCCCTGGCCCAGGTTGCCCAGAGAAGCTGTGGCTGCCCCATCCCTGGAAGTGTCCAAGGCCAGGTTGGACAGGGCTTGGAGCAACCTGGGCTAGTGGAAGGTGTCCCTGCCCATGGCAGGGTGGGGGTGGAATGACACGATCAAGGTCCCTTCCCAACCCAAACCATCCCGTGATTCCACAACTGGCAGCGTCTGCCACGAACGGAGCGGATTCCCGTGCCCATTCCCGTGTTTGCTTCCAATCAATAGGTAATGATCCCTCAGGCACAGGCGCTCGCTGCCTCCCCAGACCTCAAGCCCACATGAAATATTTACGTGCTGACAGCCGCGGGCTCCCGGCACGACTCGCTCTGCCGCTGGCAGCAGACAGGATTCTGATCCCCTGGGAAAACCTCCGGCGCGGATCCCATCGCTCCCGCCCCCGCGCCGGGGCCGCTCCCGCGGGTCGTGTCCCTGGAGCCACGCTCGGCGTGGTGGGCGCAGGGGAAGGGGCCAGCCCTGCTCAGGAATCGGGCTGATTTTCCTTTAAAAAGCGGGAAAACGCAACACCGGGGTGGTTTAGGGAGGGCAGGATTGACGTTGAGGGTGCTGAGTGGGGTTGGGGGAGCCCAGAAAACTCGCTGTGCCTTGGTGAGCTGGGAAAAGCTCCTGCTCTACCCCCAGGGCAGGGACTCCAACAGCTATTCCCCAAATCCCAAAGGGGTGGTCAGTGCCCCCAAAGCCGAGCAGATCCTGTGCCAGCCTGGGACTTGATGCTGAGTGAAAACAAGAGATATGGAGATCCTAAATATTTTAGGGATACCACAGCTGGTGCATCCACTTTGAGCCATGGCTCAGCCAGAGCTTTCCAAGGTCTGGGCTTTTTATTCAGCTTTTTGTTTTAATTAAACCCTTAAAATCTGGTTTTCCTGAGTTGCCTCCAGGGGAGGGGCAGGGGAGGATGGGGTGTGCAGGGATTTGGGGGTGGATTCCATGGGGATGGATCCCGTGTCTGTCAAAGGATGTGGAGGTGTGTGGTGGTCCCTAAACACCTGGAGGAGCCGGGCAGGACACGCCAGGCACTGAATGTCACCCAAACAGCACTAAAATAGGGGGGGAAAATTGCTGAGCCTCTCAGTGCTGGCTCCAGCTCCAGGCTGGGATACAAACAGAATAATTTCCTTTCTCCTCCATTGTTCTGCCTTGATGTGAGTGAATCAGCTGCTTTGGAGCTGCTCTGAAAAAATTAATGATTGCCCAAGCCAGCCCCACCATCCAGCCTGGATCTCCAGGCGAGCCAAAATACTCGGAGCAAAGCCATGGATTTGAGCTGACTGGGTATTTGGTTTGGGGTGTTTTTCACGGAAAAAAAAAAGGGGGGGAAATCAGTTTTCACCTGCAGTGTTTGCAATTCATTGGGGGGAAATGATTCATGGAGGTGTAGGGCTGTGATTCTGCAGCCCAGGCTTTGTGATGATTGAAAGCATCAAAAGACCCCAAACAGGACCCACATTTTTGCTTCTGAAGTGGAATGTGTTTCATGGAAAATTACAGAATATACTTTTCCTAGAGAAAAACCCTGTGCCCTTTTGTTTCCTGGCTAGAAAGGTTTGCTGAGTCTGCAGAGCACTTTGATCTCAGCCTTCCTAAAATCACGGCGCTTGGCACGGACCTTTTTTTTCCCCCTCCTTTAGCTGAACAGGCAGAGAATTGAGCAAAGATCCCCCATTGAAAGCAAAAAATAAAATTTCTCCCCACTTTCAGCTGGAATCCTGCACGCTCTTCCCTCTCACAGCCAGGATGGAGGAGATATATGGGGAAAACCCTCCAAAAAATGCTATAAAACTCCCCCCAAGTCCCCCCAAACCACACGAATTCCCACCCCTGCGCTTCCCACGTCAGTAAGTCGACCTAAATATTACAGAGGAAAAAAAAAACGACGTTGGCTTTTTCGCCTGACACTTATTTTTCTCCCTGCCAGGAGCTCTCGGGCACTCGGCAATTAGGAGCTGCAGATTAATCTTGAGTGATATAATGAAGTGCTGGGCGGCTGGAGGACGGGGCTGCTGAGCAGGGGGGGGGGCTTGCTCTCCAGATTAACATGGTTTAGGCCAGCTTTAGTGCAGACAGAGCACCCAGGGTGGTGGGGGGCTGTGGGGCTCAGTGGGATATTCGGGCTCATC